TAACCTGTAGGACCCATTAACGAGGCCCTCAGGTGGCCACAAGTCCGTGGAGGATCAGATGATGGAAGTCTTGCCGATAATGGGCAGGGAGACAAGAAGACCCATCTCTAATTTCAGCATCATTTTTAGCAGTCCATAGACTGGACCCCGAGGACAAAATTATGAGCTTGTGTCCTGCCACGGGGTCAGGTAAATGCGGGACTTTTAGGGTCATAGGTACCCAAAGATAACTACCTAGTAAAAAATTACAATTGCGGCCCTCTTGTTTGTCTATTGTTTCCATGTGATATGTTTGGTCAAGTATGACTTGTCCAAAACTCGGGTTAGGTCAGTGGGTGTAGTTGTAGTCGCGCAGAATGTCCAGCTTGGCTAGCCAGACATTCCATTGTGATAATCTTGTACCCAGCTGTCATCTGTTGATTTCAACCGTTAATGCAGCCACTCCGCTTTTCAAGCATATCTCTTCAACGAGCGGCGACTGCGGTCAGCCATGTTCTGACAGTGTGAAAAGGGACTTGTTGACCAGTAGGCTACGGTTTCCTGTCTCATTGCCACTTCTTATGACTTAGTTTTGCCAGTGAGGCACGATGAGTGTGGAAGGCAGATGCAGCGCAAACGTCCTTCGCCAAGACTAAACTGACGAACAGTTCACTACCCAATGTAGTGGTTTTCGTCAAAGCGAATATCGGGCATGTTTGGTGGCAGATCGTGCGTTCGTAGCGCTGCTTTTGGACTTTGAACTTTGTAGCCGCTGATTTGGGTTCACACGTGGGGCGGCTTGGACCATAGACAGACTGCAGTCATTGCGACGCCAGTTACGAGAGGGCATTGGATTCTGTTGAGGCTGAATGGAGAATAGGTTGGAGCAAGTTGGCAGCTAAACGGAAAGGAGCACGTCCGTCGCCGCCAGAGCAGGCGTCCGAGTGCCAGTAGGGCAGGCATCAGAGGCCTTGAACGAAGGCATGTCTGAGAAGACGCTGAAGTTGATTGGCCGGTTCGGATAACTGTGATTGGCCAAGAACCAGACTGCTCCTTGTGCGCGCGTGCAGTACGTGCGAGAGGCGCAGTATTGGAACAGGTGCCCGGAGTAGAGTTTCTACTCTACCGTCTGTGCTGGGTTGTGAAACCGCTGACGACAGCTAGTGGGGCAGAAAACCCAGACCCTAGTCTCTGCCGCTACAAATAGGGCAATTATTTGAGCGCGAATAGACGCATAAGGATCCACTGGCTTTCTGAAACACAAGAGCTCGGAGGGGATGGCAAAGGTCACGAGCAGGCAACCATCTGTGTTGGCTGAACTCCACCAAGGTAAAAACGATAGAGCATGAGAGTGCAATAGACGCTGCGTAAGTCTGCCTCGCCGTAACTCATCTGCAACTCACCGCTGCTGGGCCCACACGAGGCAGCGGTAGGTGTCGTCGCCTATGAAGCTCGGTATGTTGTCTCAATCGACGGTCTAGCCATATTCTCATCCTCGACTGAATGGACTTTCAATTTGAACATAGCAGCAGTTGTTAGCTGAGTTGGGTGTTCCACCTCTCTCGTCGCAGGATCGCGGGCCGCGGTATTTAGGTTACGTCAGCGGATGGAAGTGTAGCGAGCAGCCTTCATGACCGGTCTGGCGTCATTTTTCAAGACCTCGTTGTCCTAAGGTCATCCATTATTTTGCGGTGAGCCGTTGCAGACGCGCTGACTTGAAGTCACACGACCGACAGCTCGGGCATACCTGCCCGTCAGCGTGGCGTCCATTCATTACTTTTTTGTAAGACATGATGCTGACTCTTCGTTTAACCTGTAGGGCCCATTAACGAGGCCCTCAGGTGGCCACAAGTCCGTGGAGGATCAGATGATAGAAGCACGATGAGTGTGGAAGGCAGGTGCAGCACAAACGGCCAAGACTAAAC